TAACTCTTCTAAAAACTTAAAACCTGTGCCATTTATGCGTTCCACTTACCTCTGATTACTGTCTCATTCTCCACTCCTCTTTACCTAACCACAGTTCTCTCCTACATATCACTGTTAGTGTTAGCATGCTAATTACATTCCTCAGTAGTGAGTGTGTGGGACAGAGGGTTGTTAAGGGATTGGGGGGCCTGTGTGTGCACCTCTATGCATGACTGCTTATATGTTAAATTATATTTATGGGTAGAATCTTCTACTTGTATATGTTTCCAGCGTCTGTGCATGTGGCTGTTTACACTCTGCACTTTCTGTCTGTCATTTCCTGCAGTGACGATGAACTGTTCTCTCTCTCTCTCCCTCTGTTTCTCAGTGTGTGTTTGCAGCGTTGCTTCTTTGGCAGCTTTCGTGGAATGAAGATGCATTTTTAATGTGGCTGTGGGCTTTTTTACACTTATTATAACAACAACAAACGGCGATGATCCCTCTCATTGCCGTGTCTGTTTCTCTCTCTTCATCCAAATGATGGGTGGTCTATACGGCACGATCACATGGAAAACATGAAACTGTTTAGACAGAAGAGTACATCAGGAAACCATGTACAGAAACCCACAAATCATCTCATTTCTGGGTACGTCTTTTTTTTTTCTGAATTTGCTTCCAGAGAGATCTAAGACTGTGAAATGCCGTTTCAACATATAAGCTCGTACAAAGAGGAAAACAAAAATCTGGTGGATTAACTTCAATAATCGCATTAATGTCATCCTACCAGTCGTGCACCAGTTTTTGACCATCAAGCTGCAACAGCTGTCTTATATAAATACCAACTGACATACACATGGCATTTTTCATCACATAATTAATCTATCTCCATATGTGTAGATGCATACACAATAACAGCATATACACTAATAAACCACAACTGGATGTGCTCAGTGTCTAACACATTTAGTAGATCGTTCAGCTGCGTCTTCAGAAAGCACCGAAGCTAGCAGTTTAAGTCAAAATGCAACATCTGCTCTACAGAATCTGGTTTCTTTGTATAATTGTTTAATGCTGAGGGAAATTGGACTAGAAGGAGGCCATTATTCTCGAAGTCTAAGGAAACTCTTGGAGAGTGTATTTGTAGCGGCAGTGGAAATATTTGGAAGTTGCATTACATCTGCTTCAACATGCAAATCTGCCATGGTTTAACATTTTGTGAAATATGATTAGAATCAATACCGCTCTCATGTCTATAATGTACAGATTAAGGTACAGAAGGTAGCTTAACAGCATAAAGATCAGAAACAGAGGTAAAAAGTTTGATTCTGCCAAAAGTGACAAAATCCAAAGAGCAGTTCTGAAGTTCACAAAGGATTCCTGTTAATGTCAAATATTTGATTTAATCTGGAATCTAACTCTGTCCAAAGCTGCAGGCAGCCTCAAATCCACTGGCCTACTACTTTTTGACCCCTGAAACCAAGCTCGGTGCTGTTCAGCTAACAGGCGAGAATGCTAATCTCTCAGCTGCTCAGTCTCATGCTCAGCTACACACACTTATGCACGCAGACCCCAGTTCACACAGTGCAGTTGTGTAAGCCTCTGGAGTGCAGCAACTCTACATCTGTTGCAATGGGCACCAAAGTTGCCTCTTTATCACTAACTGCCTGTCTCACTATCTCCGTGTCACTTGCTCTTTCACTGCTGCTGACTAGCTTTCATTGCCTTATTATAATATTCATCTCTTCCTTTAGTTTAACAAAGCAGTTAGCTTTTGCAGGCTTCCTGCTTCCACTTGCCAATCAACTCTCGTAGTGGATAAAGCTCTTCAGTGCCATGTGATGCTCAGCGTGGATGAACCCCAACTACACACGGCACAATCCACAGCAACAGTTATTAGACCCTTAATAACTGTTATAATCTATTCTTATAATAAACATTTTCTCTTTTACAATGTGGTAATTTTAAGGTAATGCTTTTTTACATAATGTCCTAAATTATAAAATAGCTTAAATTTACTTTAACTGCATCTTGTGTAGAAAGGGTAATGGTCTGATAAATGATACCACGAGCCCTTGTTTTCAATTTGAAATGTCCTATTGTGAGCTGTGATATTTTTATTTTTCTTGTTTACTGCTGACATATCTCAGTAGTCACACATTTAAAATGTTTCTTTGTATCATTTCCTATAATGCAGTGAAAAATGTAACAAATAAACCAGTCAGATTAAGATTCTTTTAGATTCTTGTAGATGATATATCTACAAGTAAGTTAGTACAAAAACCAAGCATGTTTTATTTCATCCTGTCTGCTAACTTGTTGTAATTTGGATTCTATTATGCAAAAAAAGTTGGTGACGGGGAAGATTTACAATCTTTTTAATGCTATAAAGCTCTGTTCGCCTTGTGCTCTCTTGCCCCCCTTTCTCACACTCTCTGCTGTAAAGTGTTTTCAGCCACTGTCTATTTCCCCTCCTATTCCTACCTCACTTGTACCCACTGGTTTCTTTTCTCACTAGGTCCCCTCTATCATCCATTCTTACTCCAATCTCCCTACTCCTGCCCCCCTTCCTTCCGATTTCTTTTCCACGTCTTTCCTCCATTCTCCTTAATCTTGCTCTCTGTCCTTCTCTGCTGCCTGACTAAGCTGACAGACTGCAGTCAGTGAGTGGGAGGATATGCATTGTACAGCAAACATCCCTAATAGGCTAATCTAATCTCATCTCTTTGCGGTCTATGGCCCTGTGTTTACTTTCGGCCCCGTGTCTGCAGGCTGGCTCTGCCTCGCCTCGCTGAATGCAGCTTTGTTCCGACTAAAAACTCATCGTTGGTGTGATCTGAGGAACGGGCGCCAGCTCCACAACTGTCTGCCCATAAAGCCTGCAGGCAAGCAGGGAATCGCTCTCATCTATGTACAGCTTGTTGTTGTTTGTCTCTATTACACTGATTTTCACTGACAAAAAACACATTGTTGAACTAAGTACAAGGAGCTGTTCTGTAAGCGATGGTGGTGACAGACCCCCCTATAGGGCTGCAGAATTCAGTTTGTGATCTGCACGATTATCTAAAGCTCTGATACTCCAGACATAAGTTATGTGTTAAAGGCTGTACAGTGATTTTTTCATTTGCAGCCACATGACTCTATGAGGTCAGGTGAAAAACTCAAGTACATCCCATGATTCAAAGCTGGTGGAACCACTGTTAACAGCAAGATCTTTGAGTAATCGTTTTCTTTATCAGTCTATCACATCTTTATGTTGGAATTTTGGCCCACTCTTCTTTACAATGTTGTTTGAGCTTATTGAGGTTCCCTGTGCATAAAGTTCTCATGCCACAGCATTTCAATTGGATTGATGACAGGACTTTGCAACGCCATCATTCTTTTCTTGTTCAGTATTCTGTTGCAAACTTGCTGATGTGTTTGGGATTGTTGTCCTGTGTTATGACCGCATTGCTGTCTGACAAATGGCCTCCCATTCGGTTCTAGTGCAGCTGGTAGAGGTCTGTGAGTCGTTTGGTACTGGGCCACGAGAGTTGAGGCTCTGGTGTGAAATTCATGGTTTTCAGGGTTTCTATCTGATTTAAGTGTTATTTTTTAAATCGTTTTGATGGTTAACTCTGTTTGCTTTGGTCATTTCCCGTGTGTTATGAATAAATCTTCTGTATTTTGGTGCCGATATTGGTTTTATTTTGTTGTATTTATCCGTGACACCTTAAAGGTCAGTCCGTGAAAATATTGTCGGACATAAACCGGTCCGTGGCGCAAGAAAGGTTGGGGACCGCTGCTCTAGAGTGCTTTGTCATACAGGAGTTCACGCTTAACTCAATGACTGCAAAGCAAATCGAAATTATCACTATTGTGCTTGACTCTTGGTATGAGGTGTTTGCTGTGATATGCTGTGTTCGGATTTTGCAGACATGGTGCTGTGCATTACAACTAGACATCTCCACTTTGGCCTCATTTATTCAAAGGACATTGTTCTAGACGTTTTGTTCAGATGCAGTTTTGCAACCCAGACTCAAGCTGCCATGTTGTTTTTAGTGCAAAGAGGCTTTCTTCTGACACACCTTCCAAACAAGCCACACTGTATACTGTATTCAGTATTTTTCTAATTCCACTGTCATTAACTTTAACATTTAAGAAGCTACCTGAGGAGTGCAGACCATGAGATGTAGCTCTTGAGCTTTTTGCAATTCCTTTGAGACTTTTTTGGTCTGTGGTGGATTTGCTGGGATGTCCACTCGCGGAAAGACTACGGCATTGTGCAAATGCTCCAGACCAGCAAATTGCCAGCGCTTTTGCTTTTATAGATATGGTCACACTTGCTTTTAATTAATCAAATGCATTTGATTAGCAACCCCTGGCTGCAATTTACTTTCTTAAGTCCAGTAAGCGGTAAGGGTGTAGTTAGTTTTTCACAGCTTTTCATGCAATTCTGTTAAAACTGTATGAATAAAACAACCACTCGAAGAGAAAGTTATAGTCAGCAGCAACAGTGACTGAAGTGACAGTGACTACATCTGGAGCTTATGATGACATGTAGCTATATATACAAAAGAGTATCTGAATCCTGAAACTGGAAACCAAATAACGTTGCAAAATATGAAGATCTGAATATTCCAAAAGTTTTTTTTTTAACTTGATTGGTGTCACAGTAGTATCCTTGGGATAACCAAGAGGTCCCAGGACAGTACAGGAACATCTCAGAAAAATGTAACAACCAGACAGTGTTTGGATCTATGGTAATCCAGTGACGTAGAGTTAAATGAAGGAATGCAAATACATTATAGTTTCTGAACAAATATATTAATTCTGAAAAGAAATTAAGAAACCCAAGGAGCAGAGGAAGATACTGACAGAAAGAATACACTGATGTAGCAGTAAATAAGAAATGAAAACATCCCCACAACTATTTAACTGCACCAACCTTTATAAGGCTGTTGGATAGTCACACAATCTGACATTATCTTTCTGACTGACTGCAATACTCCACAGTTGTTGATATCAGTACTTTTGTTACTCACCCCTGACAGCGGTGGAAATAAGGACCATCTCCAACAACAGACAGACCCGGAAAAGCCCCATTTTTGTATTTTTATGAGGAAGATTTGCTCTGAAAGGGAATTAAATGACAAAAAAGATATTAAGATTCTTATTAATGTATAACACCTGCGGTGCTACTGAGTTCCTGCCTTAAAGGTGCAGTTTTTTTTACATTTCTGTATGTAAATGATCACTCAATCAACCCTTCTGTCTTCACAGTCTCTGGTCACCTTTATCATTTCAACATTTGATGCTCTCTTATGATCAGATGCTGTCAAAATAGCTGCTTGTGAAATGAAATGCAGTACCAAAGGGTGAAATGAAAACCTTGCCAGAAATTTTAAAAGAAAAAATGCCCCAGAAATAACCCCAGAATCTCTTCTTTTTAATGTATCATATGTTTAAAACAATTTCTTGATCTAATCAGTGGCAGTGACAACAAAGTAAGGTGTTCATCCACCACCAGACAGAAGAATAAATCTGTCAGAACACTTTCTGGAAGTCAGACTACTTTCCTTGCAGATTTATTCTGTCCACCTGTCCATAAGTCTCTCCTTACTCCGTTTTTAATCTTTCTGCCCCATAAATTTCCTCCCAAACCTTATGAGATCTTATTTCAATACTTCACATCTTTATCTTTGATCAGTATCTGTCATCCGCTGGGTCTCAGCTCACTAGGAACTGCTACTCACTTTAAAGTGCAACATAACTGATTTGGCAGGGACTGAGAATTAAGCTGAGATCTTCAGTGAGGTTACATTTTATTTGCGTTAAACACATTACTAGAAAACTTTTTCATAAGGTGTTTTACGCATTTACAAGTACATTAAAAGTATTTAGAAAGGGAGAAAAAATTCTGTATTTTGTGATAGCTTCCATAAATATGAGTCCAGACTGGATATCTGTACGTGTATGAAAAATGTGGACGGTATTATCATGAAGATCTGCCAATATCTGTCCGTTTTAAAACTTTTGCACGATATAAATATGCTTCAAAAATTGGTTTTTACTTTAGTCCCGGGGAATTTGGTTAGCACTGCAACAGAATATAACTCGGTTACCAATTTCTATAGGATATGTTGTTTTCCAACATGCAAGCTGATAAAACTGAAAGATAGCAAACAAGTTCACTGTGAAACTCACTATGAAGTGCAGAAACATTAACATTAATGTACTTTAGTGACTTTAGAAGACGGACTTACTGTTCTGTTCTCAGCCGTGTTGCGGTATCCTCAGTATGTTACCCGCCGGGGGGGGGCACCACGCCGTTATTCCGCAAAAAAAGTTATTCACCTTAAGTCCAATGACTGGAAGACTACAATAACTTGATTGTGCAGACACGTGTTTGTGACTGAAATACCAACTTGTATTAAGTCTACTTGGACAAAGTAAAGCGACAATCATGCGACTAAACGCAGAAAACTGAATTCATGAGCACGGTCAAACACATGAGCGCTCAAAATGTATCTGTAGTATTTCTGAATGACAGCCCGCATGTAAACCGCTCCAATGAGAGGAGTAAGAGAACCGGGAAAAGAGGAAAGAAAACAGAGAGAGAGGAAAAAAATGCATCTACACTCTCGCCAGTAAACTATCGAGAATAAACTATGCTTAGAATAAAAACCTTAATATCATATCCTCATCGCCTCCAGCAGCGGTGCGCCGTCTGTATTTCAGCCGCAGGCGAGAAAACAAAACTCCAGTCGACGGATTGTCCCAGCACGTAACTTTCAACCAATCAGAGGGCAGGCCAATCAGAAAATAGACCAATCAGAGAGCAGGAGCGTGCAGGACAAATTTGGAGCGGTTTATAGCTGCGAGGAGGGGGACACTTACTCAAATGATTATTATTAATCATTTTTAGTTACAGCAATAATGCACAAAAGAACAGAAACGTTACAACAGGCACTCCAGGAAAGATGAGCGAGTCTTTAAAAATGAGATTTTTATTACAACTATTATTATTATTGTTATTGTTATTATTATTATCTTATTAGTAGTAGTAGTATTAGCAGCAATAGCAGCAACAGCAATAAGAATGGTATCTATTAATATAGACTACTTTGACTAATGTATAATATATGATTTCACTATTCTATTCTATTCTATTCTATTCTATTCTATTCAAGCGCATCTACGATTTCGCGGACCCCAATAGACGTCTCCAGGTATGGAGCTACATTGCCCCCTAGTGGCACTTGTACGTTATTACAGCAATAAAATAAATAGGTACAACACGCAGAAGCAGTATATGTTACACAGTGGCTTACTGACACTGACTAAAAGTCGACCTCTATATATGACTCCCTGTGATGATAGGAACATTTGAAGATGAGGAAATTAACATGTAATACCATGCTTCAAAAGTATATAATATTTGCATATGCAGACACAGGGCGCGTACCAGCTTTATCTTTGAGATGATCAGTGACTCAGTGTTTGAAGGCATTCTGATTTTTTATTTGAGAAAAAACAAATCTTCTACATTGCAGCTCTAAAAATGCTGCTGAGTGATTTTTATTGCAAAAACCAAGTCAGTTTCCAGGGAATAAAAGAAAGCGTCTACATTGAATGTGTATAAGTGTCACATGTTTAGTGCAAACTGTCACATTACCACAGCTGTTTGTTTACTTCTTTGTTCCGCCACCAGAAGAGGATGTCTGGGTTAATTATGAATATTTTAATTGAGTATGCAAAACATTATTACATTGAATACCAAACAGATAATTAAAATAACAGATAACCTTAATGAGCAAATTCTATTACCCATCCAGCCATTCATTTTCTTAACTACTTATCCACTTTGTAGTGGCTGAAGACAAGCCCAGCTATCACAGTGTGAAAGGCAGGACAGGTCATCATTACAGGGCCAACACAATCACACAGTCCAACATCCCCACTGGCATCAAATTAAGAAACTAGAATCACCAGTTAATCACATTCCCTCACATGCCTTTGGACTGTGTGAGGAAACTTCTTGTTGCATGGTGACTGTACTAAAAACTACATCACTCTGTTTTCCATCATATTCTATTCTATTCTATTCTATTCTATTCTATTCTATTCTATTCTATTTTAACGTTGCAGTGACATCTCCTGGTAATAAGACCAACAGCACTTGTCATTGTTACCCAGAGTTCTGTTGATGTTGATATTTACAGGAAATTATGAGGAAATATCGCCACGAGCAGAATGCTTATCATCATTTCAACACATTAATAAATACATAGCACAACAGAACAGCTCCAAACAAACCACTTCCATCACCTTTTTTCCTGTTGATTCACAATCATTCGTCTGTAGGCACCTGTGATGGCTTTTTGGCTTTCAGCTTAAAATCTAGAGTCAGATTTAATCAGCTCAGTGCCAAATCTTGAAAAGGATTGGTCACTTTTGAGGCACGAGTATGGCCACACATATATGAGTGTTGCATAGATTTGGTAGAAGCAGGCTGTTGCTGCACTGACAAAGAACAATGCTCCACTTAACAGCAACTCAGGGTTATGCAATCGAGTGACTAAAGATCCATTTAACTTATTAGCAAACCAGTTAAATTAGAGGCATTAATGCAGGCCTCAGTGGGGTTTAGGTGTAGTTTTCACCACTAGATGGCAGCAGAAGATTATGTTAAAAGGACAAGGACGCATGCCCACAGACACACACACACACACACACACACACACACACACAGTCTTTTAGATTTTACATGCCGCTATACTTAAAAGAAGTTTCTTCTTAAATCTGCATGACAGATGGTGGGAATATGGTTGCGTTTGCTCCATTGAAATCCATGCACTGTGACAGGCAGCAGGCTGGAACTATTTCTGGTACAGACTCCTGTGTACGAACACGTATGAACAACACCATGTGTGTGATTTCTGTTTTGTTACCAACCTTCGAACAGACGATTTATGGACCATAGTAGGTCCAAGTGTATATTTCTTGACAGTTCTTTGTATCTGTAACACCATCACTAGTTTTAAAGAGACACGGGGGTATAATACATACTACATAAGCAAAGTTGACTCTACACATAAAGTTGCAGACGTTGATGGTTTACCTTACATATCACTGTCATGAACATGAATTACATTTGCAAACTTCTGCTCAAGGTTTTGTTGATATCACTTACCTCTGCCTGACAATAGTTTCTACTGTTTCTGCCAGAAAAGAGACCAAGACGAGTGGTCAGACAGCAGTGATGGTGGGTGCCCGCTTGTTAAGGAGGAAAATATCATAACTCAACGTGTGCAGTACATCACACTCAGCAGCATATTTCATACATTCCTGAAAAACACCTCTTAAAGAGCAGACTGGAACCTGTAATGTTATATAATGGAAAAGGCTGATTTTTGTGAGAGGGAGAGGAGTTTATAAAGACTGTAGAGCACTTTCAGGACTAAGAATTGCCTTACTCTTAACACCTTAGTACAATATGGTGATTTGGCTATGGCATTTCAAGTATATGCTAATAAAGAAAGTTAGAGTTGGAAGTTCAGGTGTTGTGGATTGCCTAGCTGAAAGGTGACATAAGTGATGTATGTACTATGGAGGAAATTTATAATTTATTGGACAGAGATGCAATTTATTTTGTTTTGCCTCTGCAGATCAACATAGTGGATGTTTAATCAAAGAGTAAATATGCACTGCCTCTCAGCTTTAATTCAAGGGGTTTCAGAAAGATTGTTCATTAACTGATCAGGAATTACAGCCGTTTTTATACTTATTGCCCAACTTTCAGAGCCTCAAAGTTAATTGGGCAAGCTAGCATCATTTTAAATTTAAGAACTGTTTTCAATACTTGAATGCAAATACTTTGCAGACAATGGCTGCCTGAACTTTGGACCTCCTGAAATGCTGTTTTTGCTCCTTTGAGACGTCTGCTAGACCTTTACTGAAGCCACCTTCAGCTGGCGCTTGGCTGTGGTCTCTCTGAACTATTTAAGATCTCAAAAGCATGCTCTACTTGGGTTATTTTTCCAGTATACTTTAGGTCATTATCTGTTTGTGCTGTGAAGTGCTGTCTGATTCGTTTTGGAGCATGTGGCTGAATTTGAGCAGACAGTAAAGCCCCGTACAGTTCAGGATTCATCCTGCTACTTCTATCAGCAGTCACATCATCAATAAACTCTAGTGTTCCAGTTTCACTGGCAGCCGTACATGCCCATGCCACAACATTGCCTCCACTATGGTTGACAGATGATGCAGTATCCTTCAGATCACGAGCTGTTTCTCTTCGTCTCCAAACTTTTCTCTTCCCATCTTTCCGGTAGAAGTCCATCTGGATTTCATCTGTCCAAAGATTTTTTTTTCAGAACTGTGTAGGCTCTTTTTTCCTCATTTTTGAGCAAAGTCTAATCTTCCGAGGCTCTTGAGTGTAACCAGAGGTTTGGACCTTGTTGTAAACCCTCTGTATTTACATTCATGTAGGTGTCTATTGGTTGTCCAGCCAAAAGAAGGAGAATTGAGCCTTCTGTTTTTGGCTGCTCCCTTTCCTCCATCGTGCCCTATTCCTAACATCCTCCTCTGTCAGACTAACCTTCTGCATGTCCTCTTTCACTACATCCACGAGCCTCCTCTCAGGGCTTCCTCTTTTCCTCCTGACTGGCAGCTCCATTGTCAACTTCTATTGTCCAGTATACCCACTATTCCTCCTCTGCACATGTCCAAACCATCTCTACGTGGCCTCTCTAGCTTTGTCTCCAAACTGCTCACCCTGAGATGTCCCTCTGCTGTACTCATTTCTAATCCTGTCCATCCTAGTCACTCCCAACAAAAACCTTCAGCTTGGTCTCCTGACGATCTAAGAACTTGTCAGTCAAATGTCCAATTAATTTTGAGCCTCTGAAAATAGGAAACTACTGTATGTATGCAACTTACAGCAATTCATAAACAGTTAATGCTAAGTTTTTGCCAACTCGTTGAGTTAAAGCGTAAAGTTTGCACTTTACACATGAATTTACCTTAGTCCAACAAAATATGGTCACGAGTGTATGTTTTTGTTCTTGTGGAGCAGCCTTTAAGCGAATACAGTGACTATCAACCCTCATAGTGGCCTTTTGGCTTTATTTCTAGCAACGTGGACAACTGCAGCCATGCAGTCTGAGTGTGAATTAATACTACTGCAAGTAGTAGTTTGTTCTGTTGGTCAGCAGGAAGAAACCTGCAAATATAGCCTTCCAATTCTGTTAAAGCAGTGGGACATGGTTGTTTTCATTATTAGGTTTTACTGGGCTTCAGCCAGTGCAAGAGGGCATTTATATTCTGCAGGCGCAGCGAAATGTCACATTCAATCTCTACACTTTGTTTTCAAAAGGTCATAATTAGCTAGCAGTTTTGAAACAATTATGGCCAAAGTGCACCAATTTCCCTCTAAAGCAAAACATAGAATTACTCATGGAGAGCAAACTGAACTGCATGTATGTGTGAAACACTTGTGGTTTGGTGTTATTCCACTCTTGCTGCTTAGACCAGTATCAAATGCTTTGTCTCTGTATCAGCTGCAAACCCTAAACACAGCATGAAGATTGGTTTTCCACCTCCAGATTTTTTTATTTTTTTTGGTCTTATCTAAGTTGACTGAGCGTAAAATTTTCATTAGAGCCATTCAACACATTTACCTGTAGGAGCAGCTGAGAATAATTACAATTCGCTGGTCAGGCTGCCACATAA